TGGACCTGACAAAAAAATTCTAAAAAGCTATAATAATTAAAATTGTATAAATCCTGATTTCATTACGTAGATCTAAATAAAATAAAAATTCCTGATTCTGTTTTAATAACTGGTCTATGGAGAAGGAAACTAATTTGGCCAGTTTCACTTCTCTTCTCCAGCAGACCTTTAGCATCCTTTCCAGACGTTGTTTGGGGGCCGATAACTAATTGGATGCTGAGTGTATGTGGAGACTATGATTCAGATCCTTTAGGCTCATGCTTTTGACAGGGTTTCCTGGATCTTACAGCTCGGTGTCTGGGAATCTGCGGGCCTCTGGGTGGAGTCGGAACCCCCCAAACTCTCTTCTGTCTCGGTGCCCGGGTCTGTGACATCAGCTCCCTGGGAAAAATGAGGAACAAAGGACAATAATGAAAAAAGCGAATGGAAAAAGAAACATTTGCTGAAATTCAAAATGTGAGTAAAGTTCAGGAGACGGGGAAAAATAGGGGCGTGGGTGGCGGATTCGATGAAGTGAATGACGGTTCCCGGCACATGATCACATCGACAAAGACAAATAAGGAATAAATAAAGAGAGATTCCTTTCAGTGCAAAAACATAACTGTACTACATGCGTTAAGGCAGGAGGCATAGAAATGCCTCATCATGACTCTAGTCTTTGGTTCCAGCATCCCTCATTCTTTTAAACATTGGTGAATTTGTAAAACAAAAAAAAAAAATAAAAAGATACAGACACTGATTAAGACACAAACAAACTCAAGGAATAACAATCAGTTTGTTGAAACTGGCTGGTTTTCAGCTTGGTGGAATCTGACCAGGTCAGTCAGAGTCGAAATCTAATATAAACGATAGAGATCTACCTTTATAGGTTTAAGGCTGCCTGGCTATTCTGGTATCAAACGTTTTTTTTGGTGCAGTGATTATTTTTGGGCCGATGTTTAAGCTTTTTCTTCTCGCACTTCCAGGATTAAAAAGGACAGTAATTACAAATGTTACACTGGTCTCAATTTCAACAAAACATTTACAATGGAAAGCAAATGGAGGAAGCAGCAATGGGTGAGCTTCATGCGATCTCAAGGCCTTGATGCTGAAGGTGCTTATTGGCTGATGTCAATACAAAAAAATATCAGCCCAAAAATATCAGACGAAATACAACAAATCCTTCAGTGTGAATTATTTTACTGATTGAGATGTCTGGAGTTTATTTAGGGAACAATGAGCACTGATGATCCAACAAAGTTGCTCCATTGTCCTTTTATGCTTCCTGTTTGCTCTTGTGACATTATGAATATCAAGATATTGAAAGCTTTTTAGAAAAAACAAAATTATATATAAATATAAATATATATACATATACATATTAGGGATGGAACGGTTTATGAAAACTGTCCGAACCGTTCAGTTCGACTGTCTCGGTTCGATTCGCGCATGTTGCGTTCGGTTCATGCTCTGCTCCTTTTTCTCATAGGGGAAGCGATTACACTCCAGAGCAGAAGGTGGCGGTACTGCGACCAAAGCCAACCACCAGTAGTAAACAAGAAGAAGAAGCAAAGCAGCTTAGCCGGGTGTAGCAGAAAAAAATCAGTTGTGGAGAATTGTGTCGGAATGGCGAGTGGGAAAGAACAGGAGTTGGAAGACGCGCCAGCAGCACTTTATAGGTCTGCTGTATGGGAGCGCTTTGCATTTAGAGTGACCTACGATGACAGCGGAAAGAAAGTTGTGAATAAAAGTGCAACAGTGTGCAACCATTGTGCAACACATTTTGTTTATGCTAACAGCAACATGACCAACATGTCATGCTAACCCCGAAATCCCACATACTCCCGTCAGCGCTCCGCTCCAGACCGCCTGCACAAAGCAAAGCCTACAGCCTCCACTGTGGCTCCCGTCCGCTCCGCTCTGAGTTCCTTGGAGATGGTAGAGGGCATGCGCGAGATTAAATTCAAAGCAGCAAAACATGCGGAAATGATCCATGGTTTCCGCGGATCATTAAAAATAATTACAATTCATTAATTTTATTGGATTTTTTCATAAATTTTTATTTTTTCATAAATTTTTATAATTTTAATTAATTTTTTTATTTTTCGGTGTAACAAACATATACCAAACCGAACCGAAAACCGTGAACCGAACCGTGGATTTTGTGAACCGTTCCACCCCTAATACATATAGGCCTATACATATACACACACCCACACAGGCATTTTTCACAGGATAAAGATATAAAAGCAGTAAAAACTAAACGTTAGAAAAATGTTTAGCCTCTGATGTATTTTGACTCAATAATCAATGGAAACATCTTTAAGTCTGAGAAAAGAGGGCCTCTTGCCATCACCCTCACCTTCAGCCCCTTTTACAGGTTCTGCCAGATGTAGGTCGGGACACTGGTTGACCAATGTTTAGTTGTTGTTCATTGTTGGACCTTAATAATAATATTGGACATTGAGGACCAGTTTCCATGTTTCATCTTAACCATGTTTACAAGGGTACAGGGTGCAGTTTTCCCCCACAGTGTTGTTGTTCTCTCCAAGCTTATGCAACCCTCCTCCGTTTCCTTGAGGACAAAAGCAGCCGTCTGTACCCTTCTCTTTCTGTGAAGCCACTCTGGGGGTTTACATTGGAAAGGGAAGCCATCATGGAAAGGACTAGATTTCCAGAATGAAACAGGCCAAGTTATAATGTCAGAACCAACTGGTTTAATTTAAATATTGTTCTCAGATTTTCAGAACTTATAGATCCTGACTGGAGGTGGGAGCCTCCTAAGGAAGCTTCTTCCCTTATGTGTGGCATGTGAGACAAAATAGACATGATGCTCTCCAAGTGATGCAGTGTCTGGTCCCGAGTGACAAAACTGCTGTGAAAATAACTGTAACAGCTGAAAAATAACCTGATATTAGAAAACAACCCCCGTCTCTACGTGCAAGACGTTACTCTATGCCTCGGTCTGCAAACGGGGGTAAAATGTCACATTTCAGACACAGAGTCATCAGACTGAACACGTGCAAAAGAGAAGAAAAAGGTGAACATTAAACAGCTAAAGTAAACAGAGACAAAAATTACGAAATAAGACAAGAAGGTTGAGTAAAACTGAAAACAGGCAGTGGAACAAATGAGTTCATGAGCTGGAAGGCCTGAGAGAGTCTACCCTAAAAGCATGACAGGGATGGGGGGGGGGGCTGTGAGCTGAACATTTAGACGGGGGGGCAGACGAATCATTTTAACCAACCTCTGTATCGTCTCCCTCATAAGCCTCATTGCCGTCCCCGCTTCCTTCATTACTCTCGTCTCCTTCCTCCTCCATCCCTCCATCTTCTTCCTCCTCCTCATCTTCTTCATCGTCCTCCTCATCATCCTCCTCTTCCTCGTCTTCCTCCTCCTCTGCATAATCCTAAAAGATAGAAAGCACCAATGAGAGAAACCCGAGACATTTCATAAAAGCGTTTTTGAACCAATACCCCTACCTGCTCCTCTCCCTCTTCCTCTTCCTCCTCGTCCTCCTCCTCTTCTCCTTCACTTTCAGAGTCAGTCAGTATGACGATGACCTCCTGCTGCAGCTGATCGGGTGTTTCACTTTGGCTCGAGGTGGCCCCTGGCTCTGCTGGGACTGACTGAGAGGCTGCTTCTTCCTCCGCTTCCTCAAGGTGTGAAAACTCCATCTGCAGGGCAGAAATGTCACGCTTTGATAAAGTCAAATAAAAGAGGCAGGGTGGAGGAAAACGCTCTAGAAAGTTAAATTAACGGCTACAAAAATGACTTGCCTCTGCTCCATCTTGGCTGTCTGATGGCACCACCCCCTCAGCCTCGGCGCTCTCTTCAACCATCACTTCCTCCTGGGAGATCAATCAAGACAGCATTTCTGTAAAAACCTACAGAACAGTTAAGGGGGATGAAAACTTGCTCCATCATCTCTTCTTACCTCTGGCCCCACTCTCTGGATGATGCGCAGCTTTTTCGGTATTGGAGCCCTGGATGTGTCCTCTTGGGTGGGCTCCACCTCCGTGAACGCGGCACTGTTCTCCTCTTCCTCTCTTGGCCTCTTGGACATGGCGGAGGACCCAGGTGTTGCTGAAACTGAAGAAAAGGAGCAATTAACACCATATATACCGGCAAATTAAAAATATTTACAGAACAAAAAAAACTAAATGTAGGAAGTGTTTTTCTTGTTATTTTCTCTAATGCATTGAAAGTTGCTGGAGACCTTATAAAATACATTCAAACTAAAATATCCAGAAGTATTGCTATTCTAAGCAAAGCTAAACATTTCCTAAATCATGCTGCTTTTCCTATTCTGTTTACTTGAGTCACTGCGTAGAAATATGAAGCAACACCTATAAAACCTCATTATCCACATTACAAAAAAGGGCCATCTGAATCGTTCATGAGGCAGAACTCCACAATCATACAAAGTATCTGCCTCCTCAAACTCCCAGATTGGCTAACATTTCAAACAGCTCAGTTTATGTATGAAGCTAGAAATAAACAACTGTTTTCTCACACAGCTTTTGAGTGGGGGACTATAAGTGGAGGACTATGACTACAGGGGACAACATGACTGCAGAGCCTTGAGGGTTCAAACCACCATGAAGAAAATGTGCATTTCTGTCAGTGGTGTGAAGATCTGGAATAAACTACAAAAAGAGCTGAAGAAACGTCTAAGCATGAAAAAGGCTAAAACTGATGCTTTTCCAACATGTACTGGGATGAGGAGGGAAGGTGTATGGCGCCGTGGGGTGCGAGGGTGGGACTGGTGGGGGGAGTGGGTGGAGGAACTGTGGTGCTGGGCTGTGGCTCTGATTTTTAATTTTTTGCAACGCTCCAGTGTGATCATTTGGGAAAGTTTAAATAATAATAATAACAACAATAATGGAACCAAACGACCCGCAAGGCCTTGCTATATAAAGATTCAAACTCACTGCGGATCCAGACATTTGAATTGAGAAAGCTTCCTAGAGGTGGATATATATGGGTTTTATATTTTATGTTCTTTGACAATCATACAAGTGTTACAGGTGGTATGGTGGGCGTGGTCCAAGCAGTATAAAAGCGGAAGCTGCAAACTTTCTTAAAAGGTGTCAGTTTCCATGGGACGCCAGGACGTATCTGGGTTCCACACGTAGATTTGTCAAGAATGTGGGTGAGTGTTTTTAGAGTGTGGTTATATTGAACTTTTATTATGACGAATGTAAATTTTAATCATTCTTTTCCTTGTTAGGAGGCCCTGCGGGTTTTTTAGACCAGGCTGTGTATACAGGCAGATGAGGGTGGTGTACGCGATACAGGTATTTTTTGAGATTTTAAGGTAGTTATTAAAATAATATTTTGATTGTATTATTTTTGTAATTTGGTGTTTTCTGTTTGTTTACAGAGATGTTTTTTGTTGCTCCTGCTGTCCTATATTTATGTTTTGTTTCTTTTAGTTAGTCCGACCCTGTTTGATGTCTTTGGTCCCGTTGTTTACTTGTGAGGGCGGACTAACTGTTTTGTTTTTTTTATCTTTTTTTCATTGATCTGTTTGTTTTCTCCTTGTTCACTCTCCCACGAGGCTGTGAGCTGGTAGACAATGTTATATTGCATCTGATCGTCTGCAGTGCTGAGTGGTGATTGTGTGCAGTGTTTTTTTCACCTGATTGCTGTGAAGCCTTATAAGTGTGCGACTTTTCTGGTTCTGGTTATGCGGGTTTGTCCGCCATCCACTAATGTCAGAGTTTAAATATTATATTGTCTACCCTAGGCTATCAGTTTCGTAGAAGGAGAGGTAAAGGATTTTCTGTCTATTTGTTTAATAAAGAACGTATATTGTTAGGACTGAGTTTGTTTCATCCTTGCGCGGGTGGTTACACAAGTTTTGTATCACAAATGAAGCTCTCTTATTACCCAAGCACTCTCATCATCTAAGTTTCTGTTTCCTTGAGAGCATGGTTTAATACAGAGGTGAAGTGAAACGTCTTTTCAAACCTTGGAAACCAAGTCCAGTGGATTGTTTTTCAAACTTTTACGGAATGACTATGACCTCGATAACTGAGAATCTTCAGCAATTTGGTAAAGTTGCTTTACACTTATTTCTTTAAGGAATAGGTAAACATTTATTAAGTGCATTTAACCCTAATTTGAGAAGATAAAGATGATTTGCAAATGGAATGAGTTTTTTGCTCATAAAATAATTAAATAATATGCACTTGGACAATGCATTTTCTTATTTTAAACGTGAATTGTCTTGCTCCATTGGCAAAGTGTGTCGTTTACCTTCTAATTTAAGAAAAAAAGCACTATTGTAGAAAAAAGTTAGTTATTTAGATTTCATTTTATGTAGTGAGATCTCCTTCTTCACGTCTAAGCACCACTGTCACATATTTGTGACTGAGACGTTTAAATATCCAATGTGCACAGGTACCTTTGCCATTTTCCCAACCAGATTTCTCACCTGTGCCAAACACAGAGGAGGATGAGGAGGAGGATGTTGAAGGCCATTCCACCTGAGAACTCGGCGTGGCCTCGACTGCTACAGGTGAAGGCTCCCGGTTGTCGGGTTCTGGGTGGGTCACGCTCTGCTGCTGTGTTGGCTGAACAAAGGCGGTGGCTTGAGCTGGAGTCTGCTGAACGGTCAGCATGGAGCTGGCCAAAGTGGTCTGGACGTTGGGGCTGGCGGAGCGTACGGAGCCGCTGGCACTTCCGTACACAGTCACATGCTCCACGGGTGGCGCTTCTGTAGACTGCATGGCTGTGGGTGAAGTTCAGGTTGAGATTGGGAGAAAATAAGGGGAGGATTTAATTTTTTTAGTCGGGGTCTTGCAGCTGGACTTACCCTCCTGGGTCTCCACCTGTGTGGTTGGCATGACTGTAGCGGTGGGTGTTGGAGTGGGCACAGGGGCAGGGGTAATCATAGGTCTGATGCTAGCTCGCGGAGTGGGCTTGTTGCCTGGGTTCACAGGCTGTTTGCTGGCTGTGGCCACCACAGGGGTGGGCTTGATGTTGGCAGTTGGAGGCTCAGAGGCGCTTGCACTAGAGTGAAAAAACAAAGTGATCTCAAAAACATTTTTAGAGAAAAAGAAAACTGTTCTGATTAGGAGAGGGCTGGTTTATCATAATACCACATTATTAAACTGCTTTCAAAGAGTTTGTCCTGATATTTGGGTCAACTTAGAGGATGAAATGTTTGCTGAGCACTGCTGGTCAGTAGGTAAAAAGCAGACTACTGCACCTTGTTGAAAACAACCCCTACTTGGTGCCAGCTCATTTTTTTTAACCCTCAAGTCAGCCTGGGCTGAAAACTGACCGTGAGATGAAAAGAAGAGTCAGAAGACTGCGTGTGACTGGGATCTACAAACTTCCAATTTACAGAGCTACCTTTGCAACATTAATTTGGTACGTGACTGTAATTTAAAAAAAGACCTGGACTGTTTAGAGAAGCATGGTGTTAAATGGAGCAGGTACTGACAGAGAAAAGCTTTCCATTTACCACTCCTGATTGGTTAAACTGTTTTACAAGTGCAGCTAATAAATTATAATGGCCATGCTATTTGACTTCTGTATGATACTGTATTCCAATGCTAATAAAATGCTAATTGAAGATTATTTTCAACGTTTACCTGCCCCTCTCTGCAGCTGGAGTCGTCTTCAGGCTGATCTGCCTTTGTTCCGTCGTCCTTTGTTGTTCTTGAATCTGAAATGAGCAATATAGTTAGTTCTTTAAAACCAAGTTTGAGAAAGAGGATTCACAAAAACTCCAGTAAATAGACTGTATTTTTTTAACAGGCTGAACGTGTGGATGTTCACCTTGCTTGGACCCGCCTCTGCTGGCTCGTCTCTCTGCTCCTGCCTCTCCTGCTGACCCCGCAGATCTCTGAGCTCCCTCTCTTGTCTGCTAAGTCGGCCTTCATACTGAGACTTGAGAGCGCTCACTCGGACCTCCAGCTCCTCACGCTGCTGCTTCAGCTCCTCGTTCTCTCTATGTAGCTCTATGCAACCATGTAAATTTGTTTTATAAAATCTGTGAATCTTTTTTATCTTTCCTGGATGTGATGGGAAGTAAAATGAAAACATCTTCACACCTGTGACACGGCTGATCTTCTGTCTGGCCATCAGGAGGGCCTTTCTGGTTTTCTCGTCCTTCTCGGCCATCTGCTTTCTCAGACCTTCCTCCTGAGAAGCCTTTTCCTGCAGCTCCTGTCTCAGCCGATTCAGCTCCGTCTGCAGTCTGGAGGACTGTTCCTGGACGTTACGCAACTCAGTTTCCCGCTCTGCGACCACCTGCTCAAGATAGTTTTTATTTATTTTTATAAATAAAAGCCATCATGAAAATAAAATTTCACTGTCTTAAAAGATGTGAAACAGACAGGTTTGTTTAAAAGAAGGTTGCATGCAGTGTTTTCTGTTTTAAAAATTTTGATACTTGTGATGTCTCACCTTGTTGATGTTCTCCAGCTGTCCCTCCAGCTCCTTGGTTCTGGTTTCAGCCTGATTCAAGGCATCTTTGACGTTCTGCAGCTCCTGAGCCGAAGCTTGCCGTGCCTCCTCGTCTTGGGATGGACCTGCTGCAGCCTCATTAACAAGCTGCATGACATAAAAACGGTGGAGATCAGCAGGGAAATTAGCTTGTAACTGGAACAGATTTTCATCTTAATCGGTTCAGACAGGTGGCCAGACATAGGAAACAAAAATGTAAACTTACAAAACCCAAAATAAAAAGGCTAGCATGACAACAATAAGAATAAGAAAAACTTTAATAATCCCAAAGGGATTATTACACAGGGACAGTGTCTGGTGTGAAATTAGAAAAGGATCAGTTAACAGAATCAGGCTTTGAGAAAGAGCAATACTATAGCAACTGCTCTTTTATAGAATGGCGTTACATATTATCCATACAGGATGGTGAAAAAAACCCCCAACTTATATTCAAGTTTGGATAAAACCTTTTATTATTATTGATCCAATAATTTACAACAGGCAACCATCCACTTTATCTTAAAGTGTTTAAAGAAAAGCAGGAAGAAACTCACCTTCTCATGCTGCACCTTGAGCTCATCATATTGTGTCTTATAGCGACGTCCGATTTTCTTCACCTGGGTGATGGTTCTGGCCTTCTCTTGGATCTCCTGGTTCTTAGTCTCTAGTTCCTTCTTCAGGTTGTTCCTTTCATCGTTCGTCTTGTTCATAGTGTCGCGCATGTTCTGTATTTGTCCCTGCAGCGTGGTTGTCAGGTTATTCATCCTACCCAGCGACAAGGAGAAAAAATAAGGGCTTTACTTTAATAATTCAAAAATACTTTATTGATCCCAAAGGAAACCAAATCTGTAAACCATTTACTCAGCTTCTTGTCCATCTCTGATGCAGCCATAACATTTTATTCCAAAAAAAGAAGAAATCTCTTACTTGTTGAGCTCAGCTTTGAGTCTAGTGTTTTCCTCAGTCAGCTGCTGGATGCGTTTCAGGTGAGTCTCTTTCTCAGTATGCAGCCGTTTGTACTCGTCAGGATCTGAATCTTTCTGCTGAATCAGTAAATTCTGGAGGGACATTGAAAACAAGATGGCTGCAGCAACATGTTAAATAAAAAAACAACAACCGTTTTGTTTCTGTTGGGGCCTAATGAACTTCCAGTCTGTGTGCTGACCTGAGTCCGAGCCTTCCAGCGCTTGATTTCCTCCTCCAGGATCGTCTTCTCCGCCTGCAGCATGCCGTTTTTCTCACTCAGCTCAGAGTTACTTTGCTGCAGAGGAAAGATGTCCGACTCAAGCTTCTGTACCTGAAAGATGCGTAAAAGTCTGAATTTGAGTTTTTTAATAAATGTTAACAGGTGAATAGATGCAGTTCTAGCAAATATCACACAGTAATTATTCACTGCTGGTTTTCCCTTCCAGTTGGGTTTTTTAACTAGTCGTTCTAAGATGGCGAACTGGATCCAAAAGTTGAAAAACATTTGAAATAACGTAAAAACAAGAAACAAAAAAATATGTAAAATGAACCGTCATGATTTATTGGTCTAAGGCTTTCACCAATAAAAATGGAAAAAAGCTATAAACAACCTGACAGGATAGGAGACTTAAGAGCATCACTGGCAAGAAGAACACATGACTAAATATTGGTTTGTGTTCAAGTTTATAGTTGAGCCCTTTTGTAGTCTTTTGATCTTTGGCTGTGTATTAGAAGTACCATTTAGGCAACATGACCTAAAAATGTTATAATTCTATTCTGTGTCATTATTGTGATAACTACAAAACTGATGATGACACTTCTTTAATTCTTTAAAGTAACTGTGAATGCAAGGCACAGTAACCATAGCTCCACAATCACAAACACTACTCTAACATAAAAAGAATAAAAAAAAGTATATATATATATATATATATATATATATATATATATATATATATATATATATATATATATAAAATGTGAT